CTCGATGACGCAACAATACGTTTGTTGGTGTGCTGATAGTGAACAAGAATTCAACAGACTTGAGGAGAAATTGACTTTTACTCCTATACTGACACATTCAACTATGGCGGATATACTTATTTTAGATATAGATGGCAATCATTCTAGAATGGGAGCAATTTTGTCACAAGTTCAACACGAAAAAGAACAATTATTATCATTAAAGTTAATAAATAAATTATATATTATGAAAATCCCAACATTTCATACCAAAAAAGATTAGACGATCGGCACTAATACAAAAATTAACTTTATATCTTGATAAAACAAGGATAAACAATTTCACATTGTAACTATAAAAGTTGACAATATCGTTGCTTTAATCTATGCTTCAAAATCACAACCATGATTATAAGAGTCAGATACGCAAATTGATTTAAATTAAAACGTTTTACCACTACTTAGAATGCTCGTCCTAATGGTGTCTGTGATTTTGCATTTTGTAAGTGCTGTGCTCTATCAAATCAGATATTATGTGTTAAAGAAAATACAAGCTTGGGGAATAATATATTTTCCGAATTGCTAGTCAGCTTTTATTAGTTATGTTTAACGAAAGAGGGCACTATGATTTGTTTATCGTAGATTATATCGTTGTTATCGGAGAAAGCTTTTCTGTCTTTTAGGTTAGTTTTCATAATATATTATTATATATATATATATATTATATAGATAAATAAAAAGTAAGTAGAATAAGTTATAATACAACATAACTTGTTACTTTTAGGCCTTTTGGATGTTGAACTTTGTGTGTGAGCGCACCATATGAATATTTCATCTGTGAAAATAAGAGGATAAAACAAAATCAATAATAATATTTCAAGACAAAAGACCAAAACAGTGCAGAGTTAAGTTGCATATCAACACTAACATTTCAAGATATTCTTTAACTTTAATAGTTCAAGTCATATCTTTGGCTCTACTAAATTGTAGTTTTTATATTACACATTGAATTCACTACATAGTACAGTACAGGGATAAATGCTGTAAGTTTAAGAAGTTTAAATTGACAAATAGGTTGGAGGACAAAACTATATGAAAGCTATGTATGTGGTAAAAAATGAATTGGGAAATTCAAAAGTCCTTATAAGGAAAAGCTTGCTGATAATTTTAAAATTATAAGCAAAGGTAAAAATTGAAGGTAAGCAGAACATTTAATTGAGGGTTGGTCCCTTGAAGGATGCTAATAGAAAAGTTTTAGTTGAAGACTATGAGATGGCTGAGCTTTTAAATATTTTATTATCTTCTGTTTTTACAAGAGAAGGTGATTGCAATATTCTTGACCCTGAACATTCTATGAGAAATATTGGAATTGACATAAATCATGTTGATATTCCGTTGGTGGTAAGTAGATAGATTGAAAATAAGTAGAACACTCTGACAGAAAAGGTTTTCTCTGGGATCTTAATGAACAACAAATATCAGACATGCAAGCCTCTTTTTCATGTTTGGTAGGTAGGCCCCTGTGGATTGGAGAGTTACTAACATTACTATATTTTTAAAAGAGGGTGATAATACATGCTCTGAAAATTATACATCAGTCAGTATTACTTCTATAGTGAGAAAAATTCTTAGGATATTGTTAAAAGAAGCTTTACAAAATCATTTACTGAAATATGATATATAAAAAAGAGCCAGCACAGGTTCACATTAAGGAAATCTTGCCATACCAATCTGTTAATTTGTTTTTTAAAAGATGTTTGTTATTAGTAAGTTAAAAGCATTGCTAATAGGTCTAGTAGTAATTGATTTAATTACAATGAGCAGGTTCTATTAAGTAATAGATTTCAGCTTTTAGCTTAAGCAGATGATGAACTAGAGGAGGGAAGAACAACAAAAGGGACAGATAGAAATGGGAATGAAAAACATGTGGAGGTTATTTTTATAGGAGGTTCTTTAGTACAACACACAAATAGGATAGTCTGTGGGGTAAATAGGGAGAAAATAATTAGATTATGCTATCCAGGGAGTAGGGGTGGAGGATATAACCATCAAAGCAGGTGGTATAGTAAAGGGTGCTAGCAGTGATGCAGTTTTTTGTAGTGAACATAGGAGGTTAATGATGTAGGAAAAGGTAGGTCAGAGGAACTTACTGTTAACTACAAGGCATTAATAAAGGTATTCAAAGAAATGTGTCATAATGACTTAATTTTGTCAGAGATACTGCCATGACTTGAGGGTGGGGATGAAATTTTAAGTAGATTACTTGGACTAAATGCAAAGCTTGAGTAGATATGTAAGGATGTGCCAGTTGGCTATTTTAATTTGTTGGATCAGTTCAGTGGGGAAAGGGATTTTTTTTTTATGAATGGTTTACATGTAAGTAATGACAGCTATTTCTACTCTAAAGGTAACTTTAAAGTAAGACCAGACAGAATAATGAATAAAAAAATATGATATAAAGAGAGTATAGCCTAGGTAGTTTTAATGGAAGGATAAACTGTTATAATTGTAATGCTAAAAGTATTAGAATTGAAATAGATTACCTTAGAACACTGGTTGGAACAGAGTATTTTGATATAATGGGAACAACTGAAACCTGGTTAAATGTAGACAGTTTTGATGATGGGTTCTTTAATAGGGATAGAATACTAAAAAAGAGGGAGAGAAGTAGCTATATATATGTAGAATGTGAGCTACAGTATGTTCAAGTTGAGGATATCAAAGCTAATAGCAGTGAGGTCGAATTCATTTGGGTTTCTGTTAGTGGTTATAAGGGGAGAAGGCTTTTAATTGGAACTTGTTAGAGACCACCAGGTGAAATTGATGAAATTAATGAGAGACTCTACAGTGAGATAACGAATTTAACTGTTAATGAAGTTATAATTATGGGAGATTTTACTTTCAGACATATAGATTTGAATGTAATAGAGTCAAATCATGAGAGAGACAGGTATTTAGAAACTGTGCAGGATGGAGATTAGAGAACATTTGGGTAAAAGTGATCATTGCTTAATTAGATTTGATGTTTTGCTGCAAATGGAGGTAAGGAGTAATGAGATTTTAGTTCAAAAAACAAAATTATATGATGAGGATTGGGCAACTTAATCAACTGGAGATTCTGATCAAATGTAGAAAAATATTGAAAATATTAAGTATTTAGATAAGAAAAAAAAAGGGTGGCTACAAGTAAAAGAAAACAGGTCAGCTTCCAAAGAATATAAGGGATAAAATTAAAGAAAAACATTATAAATATAAGAAGTTTAAATTGACTGCAATAACTGGATAGGTGGATGATTACAGGAGATCAAGAGAGTTGGTCAAATGGGAAATTAGGAAATCAATAAAGTATATGAGAAAAGTCATCTTAATGTAATCTTCAAGTAATGTAAAAGTTAATTGTGAGGATTTCTTCAAATATATTAAGAACAAGCAAATTGTTAGGATGGGGGCAAGGCCTTTGAGGAATAAAATAAGAAGAATAATATCTGATGATTATGGGACAGATTGTTAATTAATTTCTAATTTTTCTTCAATTTTACTAATTAAGATTCAAGCAATATTCCTCATCCTGAAAAACTAGATAGAAACAAGATTGAATGAGATGATTGCATTAATACAGAGCTTGTTAAGAAAGTTAAGAAAAAATTGGGAAGTATAAATCTTAGTATAATGGATGTAGCATGTGTATATATATGTATCTATCTATGAATGTGACTGAAATGATAAATACAATATGGTACCATCTATTGAATGGCACCACAAACAAAAGTCTATAAAAAAAATTTGAACTGCACTGGTACATGATGACATCATCATGCAAAAATAGCCCTCACCAATAGGAGGGCAACACAACCTCCATGCACAGTAACTCCTTGTACTTGAGATAACTTTATTCTTTTCCTCAGCACTGTCTAAAACTAACAGGGTTTGTACTTTTTTATTCAATTATATGAGATTTGCATTAGTTTACAAAAACTTAATATTCGTTCTAGTTTCATTTCATCTTCAATTGACTTTAATCCCGTTTAGTTTTGGGTTTGGTTGCTCAGGTATATTCTATTAGCCATGAATTTTCACACTTGTATGTCTGTTTGTGACAACATCCTTAAAGGGTGAGCATGTTTGGTGATGGAGATTCAAACTCACTATCTGCAGCTTGCAAGTCAAGTACCCTAACCACTAGCCCACCCCAGGCCATTCATTCTAGTTTCACTGATTTCTTTTCTTCTTGAAGAAAGCCAAACATTTTTTTTCTCCCTACCCATTATAACTTCTCCAGTGATGGTAATTTATGATTCATCCCATGATCGGGACAATATTCCTAATATTGGACCTGAGTCTTTGTGTCTTGTTGTGTGTGGTAGACATGACTGCCATTGTTCCAGGTGTTGTAGGTACCTTCATACACAATGGGCCTCCTTCTCCCATCTGTTTGGCCAACTTTCCTTCACCCCAATCTCAACATAATCAGGATGATGATGACTTGACTTGGCATGTTCCTCAAAGTTTACTCTAGACATGGCTTTATTTATGTAGGAATATCCTCCTTCTTCTATTCTCTTCCTTAACATTATTTCACATGTTTGTTCTTTTCATTTTTTTTCCCATTTGTTTCTTCTTATTTACCTGAATTTTGGGTCTTTGCAGTTTCGTTTTTTGATCAACATTACAGAAACAAACTCTTTCTTCATGGTTCAGACATCTTAATTAAGAAACCATTCTAGTATTTTCCTTTGCTTTAGCATTTTCAGCAAATCAGTACCCTTAGAACAATAAAGAGATCAAGAAGCATTGGTAATGTAATATATAAAGAAAAAGCAAATTGCCTTTTTGTTTTTAAGCTCTAGTTTTTTATTAATAAATTCTAGAACTTTTTCCCATCAGCATTGTTTGACTGAAATCTATATTGTATTAGTAATTGCACTTAAACCATTATCTTTCAATATTACATCAGTGTTCTTTCATGTTATAGATAATTTTTTTTAAACTTCTATACTCTAAACACACTTCTTTGGAGGGAAATAGTTTCCACATATCTGCTCACTAAGACTACATGGCTCCTTTTCATTATACAAATAATAATTCTGATATGGTACTTCCCTCCTCTTACAAGATTAGCTATTCTCATTCAATACTGCCTTCTATATGCCACAAGCCTTCCACTCCCCTGTTGGTATCAAATGATTCCAACATGTCTCTCATGTAAATCATCACGTGTCACTTCTTCACCAATAGAAGCATGACATATTCATGTGATGCATGTGATTCCCTCCATACGCCTCTACCAAACTAACACTTCTCATTTGACAGCCCTTTTGCTTGGATGTGTTCTTTGTTTGTTTCAAGTTTCATGTTTGTCTTTAGTATACTCATAAAGTGGTTTCATTTATATTACTTTCACATTTCTTCAGATTGTTTCTTCACTTTAATTTAAACCCAGTTTAATGCAGTGGCATTGTTATTTATACTTTTGATTTTTGGTTGACTCTTCTTACTTGTGAATTCTGAAGTTCATGTTACCGCTTCAGGTGTCACATCTGCTACTAGTGCTATATCACAGACCTCAGGTGTGGGCAACTTGGCAGGGGATTTATCAGCATTTATTCACCAGTAGATTGAATATTACGTGGGTTAACCTCTATCTCTGGACCTTGCCCCACTTCCTCCTGAACGTGCTGAGCCT